TAGCATGGAAGGAATTCTGCCCTGGGAGGGTGGTGAGACTCTGGCACAGGTTGCCCAGAGAAGCTGTGGCTGCTCCATCCCTGGGAATGCTTCAGGCCAGGTTGGATGGGGCTTGGAGCAACCTGGGCTAGGAGAAGGTGTCAAGGGGTTGCAACAAGATGATCTTTAAGGTCCTTTCCAACCCAAAGCATTCCATGAGAATCCCATACAAACTCAGGCTGTTAATATCCACAAGCTCCCCAGGGAAGTGGTCATGGTCCCAGAGCTCCAGGAGTGTTTGGACACTCTCAGGCACATGTTGGATTGTTGGTGTGTCCAGTACAGGGTCAGGAGTTGCACTGGATGATCCTCAAATGTCCCTTCCAGCTCAGGATATTCCATGATTCCCTAAAGATGTCATAACAAACCCAAACACCTCAGCAGACTAAAGAGCAGACCCAGAGCTCAGGATCACTTCAGTCAGAGCTGAAACCTTCCCACTGCGTTTCTCCATCCCCTCGTTCCCATCCCGCTGGATCGCTGTGCCATCTCGTGGCCCATCCATGGAAACACTTGGGAAAACGGGAAAAACGCTGCGACTCTTCCCTAGCAACGACCAGCTGGGAAATAACACTGTTGGGGCAAAGATTTACCACTAATTAAAGGTTCCCAATAAACCTTCCTCATTCTTTGCTCGGAAAAATCTTTCCAATACCATGAGAATGCTCTAGGCTTCTTTTCCTAGCCTCCCTTTGGGGTGTGGAGGTGATTTTTCCACTGAAAATTTGATTTTTTTGGGGCCTTTTGGTGGGCAGTGAGAATAGCATCATGTTGTCCACTCTTTGCCTCCCTGATTGGCTACAAAACAAGCCACGAATAGGCAAGAACTTTTAATTAATTAGAATCCTAATGAGCAGAAATTAGGGAGACATTCAGAAACGCCTTTGGAAGCACAAGGCTTAAGGGGATAGAGAATTCAGGTTGCATGTGAGTAATTTGCTCTGCTTGGCACTCCCTGACTGCTGAGCCAGGAAAGTTAGGAATCCATCAGATGGGTAGGAAACATCACATTCCTTTGAATTTCTGACATAGGAAAGACCTAAGGGACACCAAACTGGAGAAATGAAACCATCAGGAGAAACAGTTTTGCCTTTTGCCCTAGTGGTTTTCTCACCCATATCAATCCCATTTGATTCCTTCGCAGTGATTCCTTTCCCAAGAAGAGTCCCAGAGAAGAATCCATGTCCTCAGGAGTGTTTATTAGGAACAAACAACATCACAATGCAGACATTCCCACTCCTCAGGGTGTGGGTGTAGCAATGGAGCTCCTGCAGCCTGGAAATCTCAGGGGACAAAGGGGATGACTACACAAAAATCAGGAATTTGTGATAAAACCAAGAGATCTTCCAAGGCAACCACCAGCTGTACAGGAATGCATGGATTCCACTATCCTACACTGAGGGAGAGCTTTGAGGACCTCAAGGAATACCTCAGGGCATGGCAATGTTTTCTCCAGGCCAAGAGGTTCCTCCACCTCTTTGGGACGCAAAGGATCAGATCCTAAACCTTTAAAAATCCTTTAGAAAATGGTAAAACCTCCCTGAAGAGGGAATAAATCTTCCATTCCCAAAGGCAAGGAGCAAGGTGGAGCTAAAGCTTGTAAGCCACAAGTGCTCAGGGACTGCTCCCAGCAACCACCAAAGGGCACCTGGAATGACTTTCAAGTTTTCTTCTCATCCAGGGAAACTTCAGCTGGAAGTTTTGGGGTTTAAATCCAACCAATCCTCAGGGAAAAGTGCAGCAAGCTCAGGGTTTTTGCTTCCCATTGTGGCACTTCCCAAAACAAGGACTCAGCTGCAGATGTTAGGGGGGAGCTTATTAATTCTAACTTGTGATGGAATTAAACCTTTTTTTCACCATCGCTGGGTAAGATCCTTTGAGCTTGGTTAGATCCATGTCCCAAGAGCTGCAAACATTCCCTGCCCAAGGTCTCCTTGCCTTCATTTTTGGGGATAAACCTTTCCATTGTGGCACTTCCCAAAACAAGGACTCAGCTGCAGATGTTAGGGGGGAGCTTATTAATTCTAACTTGTGATGGAATTAAACCTTTTTTTCACCATCGCTGGGTAAGATCCTTTGAGCTTGGTTAGATCCATGTCCCAAGAGCTGCAAACATTCCCTGCCCAAGGTCTCCTTGCCTTCATTTTTGGGGATAAACCTTTCCTTTCCCTAAGGGGATGCCAAGGGCAGGGAAGGCCTTGCAAGGACACAAACAGGGCTGAGCTGGGTGAGGCCTCAGGTCCTTCTGCGTGGGGAAAACACCTCCTTCTGCCAAGCCATCCTGGAAATCCCATCCCTGCAGGAAAGCCATGGGATTTTCCCCTCCTTGCCAGCACCCCCCAGCCAGACACAACTGGTGATTCTCTTTGCTAAGCACAGACAAGAGGTAAAAGTAAAAAAAAAAAGTTATAAATCAGATTTGGTAAACTCATTAAAAAAATAGTCAAAGCTTTATAAATACATTTTCCAATCCTTATCCTCGTTCCGGCCTTCCCTTCCTTCCCTCAGGAAGAACTGCTCTAAGATCTCATTAGTAAAGAGCTTTTTTTTTTTTCTGCTCATTTGGGTGATTTCTACTCTACCTAGGGCAGAGAATTGGTCACATTTAGTGGTGGCTCCAGATATTTTTTGCTTCCAATTCAAGGTATTAAAATGCTGAGAGATCTGAAAGGGGAAATAGAAGTTTGGAAAAGAAGTCTGGGAGATTCTTGAGAGTAAGATTCAAATAAAACCTAGTGAGCTGCAGCTTTCCCTCTGCCCTCACCGTGTAGAGTTCAGCCCCAGCACTGCCCACTCTGAAAGGCACAGCCAGTTTACCTTTGGTGAAACAAAGGGAGAAAAACCCAAGGAAAATGAATTTTAAAAGTGTTTTCAGCCAGCCTTGAAGCTTAGTGTTTCTCCACAGTGCTGTGAGCCTGGGGACAAACAGCATTTCAGTCCCTGCAGGGAACTGTGATGAAGTGACAGCTAAAAGCTACAATTCCAGGTGGGTTTGGGGTAGAGGTTTTAGTTATGCAAACATCAAGTGAACAAGTGGAACTGATTTCAAAGGTTTCCTTCAGCCAGTGACACTGGAGGTGAATTCAGCTGCCTCTGGTTTGCTGTTCACTTTTCTTCACCTTCACAAGGGCCATGGCTCCCCCAATTCCCACAGCCTGAGGAATGCAGAGACCTCTGGAACACACAAACTCCATTGGTGAGTGCAGTTTTATTGGGTTTTTCACCAGTGGCCCCCTGTGATCAAAGTCAACTCTTACAATTCCCAAACAGAACAATAAAAATCTCCAAGTGAACAAATCCCAAACAACCCTGGGCTTGGGTATTCCCACTAAAAGTTGATTCCAAGGTTGTTTTTCCTGCACAACTGCACTTCTTGGAGCCCAAATAAAAACCTTCAATGACACTGTGACAGTTTAGACAACACATTGAGCACGTGGTGTTATGTTCCCACTCATCTAATCACTACTGACTAGATATGCAATGATGTCATGTCTATTGGAAACAGAGAAACCAGCAATGTTCCCAGTCACCAAAGCCTTCCCAAATCCATGGGGAATCCCTACCTGGATCCCTGAACACCTGTACAGACTCTCCCCCCACTAAGGAAAAGAAAGTGATATGCAATAAATGGTGGAATTTAAAACTGTTTCATGAAGTAAAATGCCTCAGTTGCTTCAGATTCCAAATTTCAAACCCCAGCTGGAGATCTGCCCTAAGAAAAAAAAAATAAATTAAAAAAAAAAAAATCAAAGCACTAGAAATGTAGTGTCTCATCAATAATGCTTTGCCTTGGTGCTGAGCCACTACCAGAGAACAGCAAGGATCTGACTAACCAAAACTACTCCAATTCCCAACACAACCCATGAGCCAACCAAGGTTTGAGCTGGTAACACAAAGATTTTCCCCCAAGTGCCAGAGCCAGGTGACATTAAAAGAGTCCCAACTCACTCTGCAACTACCGCTAATTTGGTCTTGGCTTTATTTTATCTCCTCATTCTTGTGCTATGCTCCTCAGGACATACTTCACTGTGTAGGCAAAGGCTGCAAACCCAACTATAACAAACAAGTTTGCCAGAGCTCCACCTAGAAGTCCATGGTGGTTCCTGTTGGGCTGCTGGAGCCCAGGGTGGTTGGCAGGTGCCAGGGGGACATGGCCATTGAGGAGAGCTATTCCATTCTGCCCATAGTGTGCTTCCCCATCAGGGACAACATCTGGCAGAGGGAGGGCTGGAGGTCTGTTGCTGAGCTCTTCTTGTGCTTTCTGTTTTTGTTTGATCTCCTGGAGGATGAAAGGAAAAACAAATCTCAATGTTGGAAGACAAAAGTAGGGAAGTTTTGGGTGTTCTTTGAGAAATTTGGGAAGAGGAGATGGTAGAGTGAGTGGTGAGACACTGGCACAGGTTGCCCAGGGAGGCTGTGGCTGCCCCAACCCTGGCAATGTTCATTCCAGGTTGGATCAAGCCTTGAGCAACCTGCTCTGGTGGGAGGTGTCCCTGCCCTGGTACAGTGTCCCCAACTCTTCCCCAGTGACCCATTCATGACCTGACACCAACACTAATCACGTGGCCAAAATTTAGGCTATTTGACTCTTAGTTTTCTGAGCCTTTTGTGGTTTTTTTCAGGAATGACAAATTCCTGCACCAACACTCTTCAGTTTGTTTTGAACATAACCTTAAGAAATCAGGGAAGCAATCAGAGAAGCTTAGAAGGCTCGGGACTGAGAGTTATTAAAAAACACAATTAGCACCTTCTGTGTGAGGAATGGAGATAAAACTTCACCCAGGAGACAAAGGGGGAGAATTAGTTTGTAAACTGAAGCTTTAGGAACAGCTTTAAGATGAGCAAGTAATAGGTGAATCAAATTCAAAGTGCATAAGCACTTCCAACTCAGCCCTGAAAATGGGCTCATGGTTTGGAAAACACCTGGAAAAAAGCTTTGCTGTATCTTTTCTCAACTCTTCTACAGCATAATAATCACTGAAACCTTTTAAAAGGCTTCTAAGATTGACCAAAGTAGCTCCAGCCAAGGGAAAGTTCTCAACAATTAGTTACAGATCTACCCAGAGGAGCTGAAGAACCAAATGCCTGTAGGGATGACTTCCCTTACCTCCACCACATCAGGGAAGAGCTCACAGAAGACTTTGTCTTTTAAGTTAAATGCTAAGCTCTGTGCAGCAAGTTGTCTTTTCTGGGGAGAAAACACAGATCATCAGCAGAGAAATGAAGTTCATACACTTCCAACATCTGATTACTTCCCCCAGGGATGGAGCAAACCACTCCCCAACTGCTTTCCAACATCTAAAGCTTCACAGGTGAACAGGATTCAGTACAAAATGTGTTTGTAGACATAAATTGGGTTCATAGATATAAATTATGCTTCTCCTCAACAGAAGTGACGTTCTCAACTCTCCATCCTCTGGGATTAGGGTTCTGGACTGCCTGGCACACAGCTCAGGAGGAAGGAAGGAGAAACTCCTAACCATATTAATCTATGTTGAAGAGATCTGAAGTTCTCCAAGGAGTCCTCTCCCTGTCTCACACCACCTAAAACTGACCTGATTCACCTCTATAGGCACCAATTCCTGAGCTCTCAAAAAGCTGCTGTGGTTTTCCCACCCCTAAAGCTGAAGGTGAAAAGATTAAAAAGTGATTTCCCACTGTTTACCCCAAGAAATCCTCTCCCTGTCTAAAACTGACCTGACTCACCTCTCTCAAAATGCTGCAGTGGTTTTCCCACCCCCAAGGCCCAGCCCACTCCCTGGGACTCACTGTGAACTCAGATGTCTCTATGCTGCCCAGTGTTGGGCCCTTTTCAACCATAAAGCTAAGAAGGCCTGTCAGGATTGTGGAGACTGACCAGGCTGGATTCCAGGTGTCTGGGTGGAAATCAGTGATGGAAAGACACAACCTGTCAAAAAAAATTTAAAAAAAGACAGGAAAAAGATTTGATTTCTGCTCTTAAAAACTGTTACCCATGTTGTAAAATGGGTTAGAGGAAAGTCCTTACCTTGTGTTACACTTAAACCTTCCATTAGGTGTGATCATATAAATACTAGGAGGTTTGAAAGGGAATTCTCTGGGGAATATTAGTTTCCCATGGTAATAGCCACCTGCAGCACAGAGAGACAACAGTTACTCACTTTGGATCAAGGTGAAACCGTAAGCTGCTACTTCCCATGGGCCAAAGAAACTCCTTTGCTTGGCTCCCTCTCCCCCTCTCAGTAAAGAGATCAAACTCATCATCTTGTGCCTCTAAAACTCAGGGATAATAATCCAAACCTGCACTAGGGTCACTCTGGAGATAATTCCCTCACATTCTCTCTTACAAACAGTATTTGCTGTCAAGCCTGGAATACACTGAAATTAATTTTATTGCATGTAACACAACAAAAATGGGTTATTTTGGGTTATTTTTCCAGTTATTTTGATTTATTTTGGGGTTATTTAAGTGCAATCCCAATTAAAAAAGCCTTTAATTTTGAGAGGCTCCAGAAGACACTGAGAGATCTGTGACTACAACAAATTAATCAGCTTTTCCACCTCTCATTTTTTCCAGGGAAATTCCTAAAGAGGATTTTTCTGCCTCATTTCCTTGAGAACATTTCTGTGCTGACAAAACACTTTGGAAATTCTCTTTGACTGCCACATATTTTCTGCTGCAACAACTTCAGCCATTTAGCAGGAGGATATTTGCCTTCAGTTGAAGCCAAATCTCATTCAATCAAACAATTGATAACAGATCAATTACTGACAGCAGTTCCACTGTGTCTTTCCAACCACAAGTCCCAGGGAGCTTTGAGTCTCACTAACAGGTTTTGGAGAGCTTTTCAGTAGTTAGCTCTGTGTTATTCAAACCAACATGAAATTCCTACAAGTGGAAACACAACACAAGTCCCTGCAGGGTTTTACCTTCATAGGGAGTCATTTCAGGTCCTCTTACCACATAGTGCCTAG